CCAGAGATATCCTTTTCAAAAAAAAGAAAGAGGTTCTCTTTATGATATTTATTTATGAAATAGTGACTTCTGGCAGAGAATTTGGTTTTACCGACATAGTTCCCGATCTCATAGGACTGTCGGGAAGCCCTCCTTTTGAATTCCCGAAAAAAATATCCTTATCCCTTTCTCGGGCTTCAAACTATGTCTGTACAAAATTTTATCGAAATCGGTTCAGAAGTTTAGGTGTGAAGGAGAGATAGACAGATATACAGAGTTATTTTGATATCTATGGAAATACTATGGCCCCTGCCCTTGACCAATATTGATGCATACGGATAAACAGGCAGGGGGTGACTGGCAAACTCAATTAATGGGCCCCCGGAAACGGCCGCTAGCATGTAGCGTCACGGGGTCAACATAAGTATTTATAATACCTACTTTTTTTTTTGCTGACCCGGCAAACCTTGTTTTGCCATAAAAAATTGTATGAAAAATAGCCAGTAGCCGATTCTCAGACTTTCTGAATAAGCATATAAAATTTGGTGAAAATCAGTAAAGCCGTTTCGGAGGACTAAAGTTACTAATATTGTAACGCGAAAATTTTTTGTGCTTACTCGTAACAAGGCTAGAGTGAATAGGCTCTTAATAAACTAGTGCGTCCTACCATCAACGATTGTATCACTGCTTACCATCAGGTAGGATCGCAGTCAAGCACTAGTTTATTGCAAGTAAATAAAAAAAATATATTATTATGGGCCCTAGCGTGACTTGAAAGTAATCGAGTTAACCCGTCAAACGTTTACGTGAACAAGACGTTACGTTTTCTATAACTGTGATAGTATTCTCATATTACAAACCACAAATCAAGGGAAATGGGTCAGCCTGTTGTGCCTTGATCTTTTGAACTCTCAGATAAGATAATGAATCATATTGAAATACAGAATATTTATACAAGATATTTGTTATTAGTTACTGTATAAATGTGGGAGAGCCAAGCTTCGGCACGAATGGGCCGGCTCCACCAGAGTGATACCACGCCCTCACAAATAACTGACGTGAGACAACCACAGCGTTGTGTTTCGTCGCGTGAGTGAGGTTACCGGAGACCCAATCCTTCCTTTAGGAGCAGTTCCTCTGTTGTTGCGGGTGTCCATGGGCGCGCAATTGCTTCATCATCATCATCATCATCAGCCTATAAATGCCCACTGCTGAGCAAAGGCCTCTTTTCATATTGAGAAGGTTTGAGCATTAATCACCACGCTTGCTCAATGCGGGTTGGCGATTTCAAACTTATAATTAGAAATTATAAGTCCAGGTTTCCTCACGATGTTTACCTTCACCGTATGTCAGTGGTGTCTAACTAAATAATCACAGAAAGTACATATAACTCGGAAAAAGTCACATTGGTACTTGCCCGGTTTCGAACCCTCACCCTCATGAATGAGAAGCGGGCTGCTTAACCTCCGGGCCACCACGACATTTCTTGCATTCACGCAATTGCTTACCATCAGCGAATCTGTGAGCTCTCTTGCCGACATAATACATAAGTTTATAAGGAAAGGAGTTGGAAAGAAAAAGTCGAAAACATTTTTAAAAACATATATTTTTATTAATGTTAAAAAATATTTACATTACATTATCAAGTACAATATTACTATCTGTATTGACTATATATGTATATTTATTTCTAAACATCCCCATCTCCTTATTAATAGCATTTTTCAAACTTTATTTCATTAGCATTTTACAGGCAAAGCCAGGGTCTACACAGAAAGACACCAGAATCAACACTGGAGTGTTTTCTCAGAAAAAAATAAGGAGTGAAGCCACGGCCTCAGAGGAAGTCGGCGTGGAACTACGTACGCGTTGTATTCCACCGTATAAATGAACGGGTACATCCTTGAAGTCCTCAAATTAACTCCCATAGGCCAACAGCGCCGATAGCTTACCATCAGGTAATCCGTCTGCTCTTGCCGACATATGTCATAAAAAAGGGCTTTTATCCTGAATGGAATATTACAATCGTATTAGAAAAATATTGGCGTCGATATCGTTGCCGGCAACTAGTTGCTCAACTAATTTGCCAACCGGTGTGATAGCCTGAATCTTGAGTTAAGGTGGTTAACTAAAGGTAAACAATGTTGACGTGTCTTTTTATATTAAAGAGCTCGTATAAAGTACATACAAAGATTATTTAAATTCAGTTTATTAGCTTACATCGATTTAGGTAAATAGCTGATTGTAAACATTTTTACATACAATTTTTTATATAAAAAAACATGCCAACATTGATTACATTTAATTGATTATTTATACCGATAGAGCTTAGGCATTTTTGACTTGTCTAAATGATGCTAGAAATATCTGCCCACCCATCATATTCTAGACCACAGTTTGATAGTCTTTCAGGTCGAGGAGAATGGAGAAATACGGTAGTTTCCAACTAGTCAAATTCTATACTTTTATCCAAACGTCAAAAACGATACTTTTCTATGAAATTCGTATGAAAAACTGAGCTATGACGTCATAACATTTTTGCGTCAAATAAATTACTTATTTCACAATAATTAGCTAAAAAAAATCTAAAACTTGGTGTATCGATCGATCGATGAATAAAAGTATAATTATTTTTCAATATTTTATTGTATTGAAACGTCGAATTAATTTATTTTTGACCTAGGAAACTACCCAATTGTGTTCAGTGCCCGATAGACTCGCACCTTATTGCATAGTACTCATAACAGGGGATACTTGGGTGATGCATAATCTGAACCTTCCAACCTTTTAGGGCAAATCTCCAGTCTCAACTTTTATAAAATCCATGTAAAAGAGCCAAGCTTAACGTCATACACAGAGAAAAGATCACAAAAAAACGTTGCCCTACACTAGGATTTTCTCTTGTGTCTGGCTGAATTATCAACAACCAATCAGATGACTTGACAAGAGATTTGACACCTAGTTAGTTGATTTTAACATTGATCGTGCTTGGAGTCTATCTTTGTAACAAGTAAAAGTTTGTAAAACAAGTCGCGCCTCAAAGAGCCAATAGACCACCACAGACGGGGCCCTATAGGGCTGATGTTCAGCCGGGGTTGCGGGGTAAGCGCAATGAGGCAACGCGACCTCGGCCCAGAGCAGGAGAAGGAACAGGGGGGGTTTTAGTCAGTAAGAGTCTGACATTCCCTCTCGCCCCACCCTGGGCGGGAGAAGTCATTCAGTGACTTTTCCCCTCAAAAATCTGTGAGAAATCATTTATCATCGGTCAATACGGTAGTTTCCAACTAGTCAAATTCAATACTTTTATCCAAATGTAAAAACTATACATTTATTAAAATTGTGTGTGACATCGCAACATATGACGTTTTAATATTTATAAAAAAACAACATATTACTAATTTCTGAAAAATTGCTTTGCTTTTTAATTGAGATATTTAGCTCAGCAATTAAATGCTATTTCTAGCAATGGGATGTCATGCCCAATCTTAGTATAATATGCTGCATAGCAATGCTTATACCAGAAATGGGATGCTATGCCTAAGAATGGGCTTTGTCCAGCAATCCGATACTTTGCATAGTATTGCTGTGTTTTGCAATGGTATGTTTTGTCCAGCAATAGAAAGCTTTGGCCCAGCATTGGGATACACTGACCAAGCAAAGTACATGTTGAAAAATAATGCTTATTCCAAAAAATTGATAATTTGTCCAGCAATCTTTTACTTCGTCCAGCATTGAGATGCTTAGTCCAGCAATGGGATATTTTGAACACTATTGCTTTGCCTTACAATGTTATCATATGGCCAGCGATAGCATGCTTTGTCCAACAATGGGATATTTAGCACAGCATTGCTGATTTGTAATGGGATGTATTGTCCAGCAATAGAAAGTTTTGTCCAGCATAGAGATATTAAGCCCAACAATGGGATATTATGCAAACAATGGTTTATCTTGCAATTAGATTCTATGGCCAGCTATGGGATGCTTTGGCCAGCAATGAGATATTTATCCCAGCAATGGGATGGTTTCTTCAGCAATGGGATATTTTGCATTAGAGCCTATGGCCAACAATGGGCTGCCAATGGGATGCTTTGGCCAGCATTGAGATATTTATCCCAGCAAGGGGATGGTTTGTCCACCAATGGGATATTTTGCATTGGATCCTATGGCCAACAATGGGCTGCCAATGGGATGCTTTGGCCAGCAATGAGATTTTAACCTAGCAATGGGATGCTTTTGCCAACAATGTGATATTACACTCAAAAGTAAGACAAAAATTATATTGCACATAGTAAAAAAATACTTAATAATATTGTCAGAATATTTTATTTGTAGTATATCCTTAAGTCACGCGTATTAATCGCAGATGGGGTAGGCAGAGGTGCAATGCACAGATACAAAATAAACACCCAATTATTCCAGTTAAATAAGGGCTGATTTTTCAATGGTTAGATAAAAGTTACCTGGGAAATAATACGGTAGTTTCCAACTAGTCAAATTCAATACTTTTATCCAAATGTCAAAAACTATACTTTTCTATGAAATTTGTATGAAACGCTGAGTTATGACGTCATAGTATTTTTGCGTCAAATAGCTTCCATATTTCTTAATAATTAGCGACAAAATATCTAAAATTTAGTGTATCGATCGATCGATTGATGAATAAAAGTATAGTTATTTTTTCAATATTTTATTGTATTGAAACGTCGAATTAATTTATTTTTGACCTAGGAAATTGACCGATTGATACACTAAATTTTAGATATTTTTTATCTTATAATTAAGAAATAAGTAAGCTATTTGACGCTTAAATACTATGACGTCGTAACTCAGTTTTTCATACAAATTTCATGGAAAAGTGTAGTTTTTGACGTTTGGATAAAAGTATTGAATTTGACTAGTTGGAAACTACCGTATTCGTGACTGATGTTTGAACATGTGATTGTAATCATGATAAAAAACAACACGCTATATTTCGCTATATTTTTGCCTGTCTGTCTGTCTGTATACATTTAGGGGCCGGTAAAGTTGATTTTTACATTACATTTTACAGGTTTTCATGTAAAAAGTGTAATAGGGTCGCTTCGTAATGTTTGGCGGCATGCATCGCTCGGAGAGAGTGTCTTTCGCCCGGGTACACCTGCGAAAACAAACATAATAATTAACTTATTTTTTAATGGCAAACGAGCAGACAGATTACCTGATGGTAAGCAATCGGCGACCCCCAATTAGCTCTTGAAATACCAGAGGAGTTGCAAGTGCATTTTTTAGCGATAAGGGATTTTGGATGTTTAGGGAGGGAAAGGATCGGTTGAACAAACCAATTCGTGGCGAAAAATAGCACTCCCACACATAATTATTACTTTTTAACTGAATTGGGGAGGGGGGGGGGGGCTAGGGCAACAACAAAAGCCCCTTTTGCAGCAGGTTCAGACCTTCGATAACCTCACTCAGTAACCAGGGCGCCGGTTTTTTGTTTATTTATGGGTGATGGAGAGTCAGCCGTAGGTGCAAGAAGCAAGCAAAATCTACATATTATCAATTACTAGCTTCCGCCCGCGGCTTTGCCTGCGTGGTATGTTGATAAAGAGTAACCCTATGACTTAATCCAGAATATCACCAATCCACATACCAAATTTCTGAAAATTTTTCGTTTTTGCGTAAAGAATACCATACTATACATTCTCATAAACTTTTACATTTATTATAGTAGGATTAGTAGGATAGTAGGATTGGTACGATTAGTAGGATAGAAGGATTGGTAGGATCAGTAGGATCGGTAGGATAGTAGGATTGGTAGGATTAGTAGGATTAGTGGGACATAATACGCCGTTGTACTGTAAGGCCGTGGTATCACTCCGGTCGAGCCGGCACAGCAATGCAGATACACCTCGAGCTCATGTTGAAAGAAATGGACAATGACGAGCTGATGATTATGATGATGGAACTGACCTGTACTCGATGTGGTTTCCCCAACCTGACCAGCTCAGCTGTAAGCGCGGCAGTGTGGCAGAAATGGACATTCTCGTCAGCAAGACCGTGGATGATAAGGAGCCTGCCTTCCCTGAAGACAAGATTTTTCAAATATACAGGGTGTCCGGTAAATAATGGATAACCTTGAAATGCCTTTTAGTATATCCTTTGGCCATTCAGAAAAAACAACGAAAAGGAAAGTATGATAGGTAGTACCTAAATGATTATGTCTTGAAGTAAAAGAACTGGGGCTAGAGGTTACACACGTTAGGACATTACTGCATAACCACGATGATTAAACATTGCTTTAAAAATAAAATTTGCACGATTTGTCTAATAATAAATTAATTTGGAAGTTTTTTATATTTTTTTTTTTGTATTTTTTTTGTTTTGTATTTTTTTCAATGGCCATCTTAAATGATATTGCAAGGTTGTCTATTCTTTACCGGACACCTTGTATAATATATGATATACGCGACCCATCTTCGCACGCACGCATTGGTTTTTTTCTTTTTGTGAGGGGAAAATCATCAAATTACTTCTCCCGCCCAGGGCCGGGCAGGTGGGAGTGTCAAGACTCTTACTGACTAAAAATCCCCCTCTTCCTTCTCCTGCTCTGTGCCGAGGTCACGGTGCCTCATTGCGCTTACCCCGCAACCCCGCAACTACCCGCAACGATAAATGTACTAAGAAGCACAAACAAAATTGTTCAACTGGAACCAGTAGTTTCGGAGGTTAGCGCGTTTAAACAAACAAACTCTACAGCTATAAAACATCACGCTACGATTTGTCGAAGCTAGTATAATGATAAGTACTTACTGGTCTGGGAAGAAGGGGGCGTGGGCCAGTACACTAGCCCTTGTGTATGCGTGGGGGCTCCTCGAGGGGGGGCCCATGTAGCGCTCCGTGTAGGCTGTGTCGTACAGGCGCCAGCACGTCACTGGCGCCCCCGCTACACACGCGCGGAATATTCCCGGCCGGGTCGCCAGCCCTAGCAAGGATAGGTATCCACCTGTGAACAATATATTTTACTAGAGTATTTTTTAAAATTATTATTTGCATGAAAGAAATAATTTACAAGGAAAGATCGTATAACTTAAATGTCAGATTGAAACATTTAATCCAATTCTACGCAGCCGTTCTGGAGTTATAAGATAAAGCACCATTAAAAACATTAATAAGAAATCGATTTTTGATATAATCTTGAGCTTTTCATTTTTTTTTTATTTACTGCCCTAGATTAGTATTTTCTTCTGTGTCATGGGTGCGTTTAGCGCCAAACACAAAAATTGACAAACACATCACACCTAGACTTAAAACAACAATTTGTGGATCACACAAATAGTTGTTCCGTGCGAGAAGAACATTCCTTTAGTCTAGAGAAAGTATTTTTTATAGTCAAAAAGTCATGTTACAAATTAGACCGTTAAACTCAATAATTGAATAATATACTAAGTTAAGAATTATCAGTCTGTCGTTCAGTCCTCTTAGTGAAGCTATTTGCTCGTTCCAAAGTGTAGATTCCTATGGAGAAGAACGAGCAAGAAACTCCATGGTTACTCTTTTACAATCAGTTTTACATACAGATTCTTTGGTACATTTAAGTTACGTAAGAACCATACTTGGACATCAACGAACATTTCAAAAAAAGAATTGGCCAAATTGGTCCAGGCGTTGTTGAGTTATGCGCTTACCAACACATTTTGCGATCCATTTTTATATTATAGATAAATAAATACCTAAATAAAGTATATTTCTCGATAACTCACCGTAACTCCATCCGTGTATAGCGACCCTCTCCATATCTATACAACCAGTCTCCTTGGCCAGCCATTGCAAGACCTCAACCTGTAACAATATTAAAGTCAGTCAGTCTTTTTTCACGGAGCAACCCCGGCTGAACATGAGCCCTATAGGGCCCCGTCTGTGGTGGTCTATTGGCTCTTTGAGGCGCGCGCGGAAAGCAGTTCGCTTCTACGCAGTTCTGGTCATCATCAGTAAGAACATCGTTCGATCTCTGACTCCTGGAGTGTCGCCTACTGCGGCGACCGAAGCGTGAGGAGGATAGTTCCCTCACACGCTCCGCCTTCTTTTTCTTAGTATAACTACTGGTGAAACACACCGCTGTGGTTATTTCACGCCGGCTTTCTGTGAGGTTGTGGTATCAATCCAGCCGAGCCGGTCTAGCAGTGCCGAAGCATGGCTCTCCCACACTTTAACGGCTTATTTGCAACAATAATGTCATTGTTTCATCTTCCTTTCGCCTCGACCAGGAAGGGAGAAGTCATTCGATGATGTTTCCTACTCAAAAAAGATCTATAAAAGGAACTGAATAAAAGTAAAGTGTGGGAGAGCCATGCTTCGGCTCGAATGGGTCGGCTCGACCGGAGTGATACCACGGCCTCACAGAAAACCGGCGTGAAACAACCACAGCGTTGTGTTTCGCCGTGTGAGTGAGGTTATCGGAGGCCCAATAACACCCCACCCCCCATCCCTTAGCAATCCTTAAATAACTGAACCCTTATCCGTAAAAGGTCGGCAACGCAATCATTACTCATTTGGTGTAGCGGGTATCCATGGGCGGCGCAGATCGCTTACCATCAGGTAATCCGTCTGCTCGTTTGCCGACCTATGCCATAAAAAAAACTGACCTGGTCATCCAACTCGATCTGTCCGAGCTTGCCTTTGATGGCTGCCTCCCAAGCCCGGCCGCGGTGCTTGGAGCCCCGCGAGTCCACAGCAACGACGTTGAAGCCGCGCGCCGCCAGCATATGCATGCGGAGTTGGCGAATACCCTGCGAATTAAATAAAACATTCAATAACTAGAGATAGACCCAATCCTTCCCCTCCCCCGATCCCTCCCAATCCCCAAATCTCCAAAACCTTAATCCTTAAATGGTCGAATTCGAACGCACTCGAATTCATTGGCGGCGCCGATTGCTAACCACCAGGTAATCCTTCGCTTGTAAGCCAACCTATCCCATAAAAGAGTAACCATGGTGTTTCTTGCTCGTTCTTCTCCATAGGAATCTACACTTTGGAACGAGCGAATAGCTTCACTAGAGGACTGACCGACACGCATAAAGTTAAACCTTTCGAAATATTTTATTATTCTTCTTTTTAGCTTGAAGTTCAAAACTGCTTACTGGTAGTCTATTTAAAATAAATGATTTCGAATTTTTTTTTTCAAAAAGGAGTCTGACTCTCTCTCTCTCGCGCCATACCCTGGCCGAAAGAAGAAATATGGCGATTTTCGCTTTACCTAAAAAAAAAGTATGAAATGTATGTATGTATGTTTATTTAATACCTTGTAACTATTAGTAACGGTCTGCACCTCCGGTCCTCCATACACGTGTAGCACGGTAGGGCTTCGCCCCGCGCGGCCGCAGCGCCACAGCGTGCAGTAGGCCGTCGCCCCACAAGACAGTCGGGTCTCAAATATTTGAGGCGGCGGTATGTCCGAGAGACTTAGGGAGCGTTCTAGAAATAAAATCACAAAAATATAATTAATGTAAAAATATCGTGAAGTTTCAAAACCTGGCAAGTACCAATGTGACTTGGTCCGAGTTATATGTACTTTCTATGATTATTTAGACACCACTGACATACGGCGAAGGTAAACATCGTGAGGAAACCTGGACTTATAATTTGTAATTATAAGTTTGAAATCGCTTATCCACCTTGAGCAACCGTGGTTGTTAGTTTTATTTTTAATTTTTTGGGACATGCCCGCCACAGCCTAGCGAAACCACTGCAACTCCTGTGCACCAGGATGTACAGTAGATACAACCATGAAAACACTGACACCCGGTTTCTGAAAGGCTTGTCAACGCTAAAATTAACTAATCTCCTGTTAAACCTCCGGTTTTCGAAAGGCCGATCAATGTTAAAATCAATTTAATCTCTTGTCAAGTCATCTGATTGGTTGTTGATAATTCAGTCAACCAATCAGATGACTTGACAAGAGATTATATTGATTTTAACATTGATCGGCCTTTCGGAAACCGGAGGTTAAACACTTAAGTCCGGCGCGTCCCAGGGACATGAATGACTGTCTTGCATCCCGCAACGAAATAAATCAGAAGATATTATTTAAGGAGAAGGTAAAACGAAGTAGTTTCTACTTCCCTCGGTTATTAAATATAATGCAGGAGACAGAGGCCTTAAAGGCACAGAAAAGACTGTACAACTGGGAGAAGCCCAGTCACCAAACACCACGGAAAATTTGGTAATGGGACCTATGTGTGAGCTGCTACAGTTGTTTCCAGTAATAGTTATGGCAAAAACGCCTAAATGCACGGAAATTTGTTCTACAGAGCGTGGTGGTTAATGCTCAAACCTTAACAATGTTAACATTAAACTTTTAACATTTAACTACGGTAAACCGTAGGTTAAATAAGTAACTAAGCTAGTTTTTTTTACCGTTGCCCCATACCACAGGTTTCTCCTGCGTCGTGGATGCGTCTACAAATATACGATTTCACATACACATCACACACAGATCCGTCACATTTCTGGATCACACAAACAGCTATTCCGCGCGGGAATCGAACTGTTATAAGTTATAATAGCCCTAACATACATTAATATAAAACCGCTGACACCGCATCCCCGTCGCTCACGTGGATGCGACACGTTTACTTAACATTGCACATTTTATTTCATTTATTACTTTGCACCTCGTGGCGGCTACACTAAGGGTTTTGTAATTTTGCTATTTTCTTATTATATTTCTAGACAGTCTAAAAAGTATTTTTTTAAGCGAGTAAGCGGCAGCCAGTTGCTCAACCAACGTGCCAATCGCTCAGTCAGAAAATTGTACGAGACATTGGCTTAAAAATGAATCGTATTTATCGATTTCAGATATGACTTTGGTTGACTCCCCTTCCCTCCTCCCTTCACGGGTCCTTTTACATACTCGTATTTATAACTAGCTTTGGCCGGCGACTTCTTTTGCGTGGAATAGTGACTTCCTGCAGATTTTTGCTATAAAAAAATATCCTATGTCCTATATCTCGAGTTCCAAACTATGTCTGTACCAAATTTCACAGAAATCGGTTCTGTAGTTTAGGCGTGAAGAAAAGACAGACAGACAGAGTTACTTTCGCAGTTAAAATATTAGTTTGAATAGTTGACTGCACGGTTGGTGAGGTGGCTGGGCAACTGGCTGCCGTGCAACGTGTCGCGGGTTGGATTCCCGTACGGAACAACTCTTTGTGTGATCCGCAAATTGTTGTTCCGGGTCTGGGTGTCATGTGTATGTGATATTGAATGATTGTAACCGCACCCACGACACAAGAGAAAATCCTAGTGTGGGGCAAGGTTATTTTTTTTTAAAGTTTGAATTACATACCTCTAACCAAAGATCCGGTTTCGCTATCCGTATCTTCCTCACCATCCCGACTGTCCCACGAGCCGTTTAGACTTCTGACCTCCGTGCATTCTGTTACAAATGTATACAAAATTCATTATTTATTACAACAAATTGCGATTTTTGTTTTTATGTAATAGGTCGGCAAACGAGCAGACGGATTACCTGATGGTAAGCAATCAGCGCCGCCCATGGATAGCCGCAACGGAGGAGTTAGTTTATAAGAAATAAATCAGAAGATATTATTTGAGGAGAAGGTAAAGAAAGTATTATATATATATAACATCCTGACCTGATGGAGCTCTTTCAGTGATGCTGCCCTGCACGAGTAGACGCGGCGGTGCGTGTAGGATACGATACACCCGCGTCACTGGAGCCGTCGTTATATTAGAGGAGGTTATCACCGCCGTACTGCAATCCTAAAGAAGAGAAGTACTTTATTAAAATGTAATAATAATAATTTTCATTTTATAAAAAAAGAACTTCTTTTATGTTATTTGGGTTTTAAAGATTGGGGATTTAAATGGAGGGTGGGGGGGAGTGAGCCAGTAACCTCACACACACGACGAAACACTACGTAAGTATTGCTTCACGCCGATTTTCTGTGAGGCCGTGGTATCACTCCGGGCGAGCCGACCCATTCGTGCCGAAGTATGGCTCTCCCGCACTATGTAGTGATATTATTTACTAGCTTCCGCCTGCGGATTCGCCCGCTAGGTATGTTGATAATAAGTAGCCTATGTCCTAACCTGGAGTGTATCTTATGCCTGTGCCAAATTCCATCCAGATCCGTCAAGCCGTTTTGGCGTGATTGAGTAACAAACATCCAAACATCGTAACTTTCGCATTTATAATATTAGTAAAAATTGGGTAGTTTCCAAGGTCAAAAATAAATTAATTCGACGTTTCAATACAATAAAATATTGAAAAATAACTATACTTTTATTCATCGATCGATCGATACACTAAGTTTTAGATTTTTTTAGCTAATTATTAAGAAATAAGTAAGCTATTTGACGCAAAAAAACTATGACGTCATAACTCAGTGTTTCATATAAATTTCATAGAAAAGTATCGTTTTTTAACATTTGGATAAAAGTATTGAATTTGACTAGTTGGAAACTACCGTATTGTGTATATAGTATTTGTACCTCATCAATATCGATGGTGCAAGAGTGTCCAACGGGAGTGAGCAGGAGTACGGCGTGAGGTCTCGGCGGAGAGAGGGGCGCCACGTACAGGTGGCGCTCCAGTGGCGTCTCGCGGAGCCCTACGAAATACACCAACTGTCTCGCTGTGTCCACCTGTATCAAAATAATATACATCAACACCCTATAAGCTGACTGCACGGGTTGGCGCGGTGGCTGGGCAACTGGCTACCGTGCAACGTGTCGCGGGTTCGATTCCCGCACGGAACACCTCTATGTGTGATCCACAATGTGTGATGTGTATGTGACATTCTATGTTTGTGACACAGGAGAATATCCTAGTGTGGGGCAACGTTTTTTGAAATCAATAATAGAAATCATCAGCCTATAAGTGCCCACTGCTGAGCAAAGGCCTCTTCTCACACGGAGAAAGTTTAGGCATTAACGATACGAAACTCGCGAATGGATCATGAATATCAGCTCTTAGTATGACATGAAACTAGTCGAGTTTCCTCGACAACCAAAGTCAAAGGATTTATTTGCAAACTAGCCACCCGCCCCGGCTTCGCCCGTTTGCAATGCTAGTACTAAATTTCTCCACTATTTTAATAAATAATTGTTACTATATAATACATATAAATAAACTTATCATTACAAACACGTTTACTTTGAAAAAACCGTAGTTTTAAAGACACTTAACGAAGCCGTTAACTACGCATACTGCAGTTCTAACTAAGTAGCTTTACGCTAAAATTATCACTGGGAAACGACTTTTATTTTTAGGTATCAAAAATAATAATAATTTTATTGCGCGCAATGTAAAGCAAACGGGCTTCGTGTCATTGTGTGCGTAGGTTCACAGCTTAGCATTAAAACGCTGTGATAAGTACGTAGGTCGACGTTTTACTTCGCAACAACAAAACAATTCTGTAAAATAAAAATCCTACTGAGATGCACGATGTTTTTTGTGCGGGTCTGCATTCATTTATTACGTACATTACTGTTCGTAACTTCAAATGCGTAATTTATTTAGAAAAATCGAAAATTCAGGTAATGTTTGTTTGGAAAGTATTTATCATTGATAGATTGATACAGATTTTGATGTATGCAACTTACCCATATCTTCCTCGACATGACCTCCCACTCTCCAGCAGTGATCGGCTCCTTGCTTATCATGTTGGGTCCCACGGCGTTGCTCTCATCCTCGTTAATCATCTCAATCACCGCTGTTGACAAAATAATCCTTTAATATTAAAACTTTGTAGAGCCATACTTCGGCACGAATGGGTCGGCTTGACTAGAGTAAAATTTATTTATTTATTTATTATAAGGTAAGCTCACAGCTTATGTATACAAAGTAGTTTAAAGTATTGATTATAGGCAGGAGGTCATATACATTAGCCAGTTACGAGCTAACCAACATTCTAAAAATTATGTGTTTATATAAAATAAAAATAAAACGTTTTTTTATGTGAGTATGGATTACCACTCAACAGAAGAGCTACTAGTGAATTGCCAACCTTTTTGGGATTAGGGATTTGGAGATTTAGCGATTGGGGAGGAATTAGGGGAGTGAAGGGATGAAACCAGCATGAAACAATACACACAGTGTTGTTTCGACGAGTGACTGAAGTTTTTTTTTAAATGTTGCCTTACACTAGGATTTTCTCCTGTGTCTGTGGGTGCGTTTACAAACATACAATTTCACATACACATCACACCCAGACCCGAAACAACAATTTGTGGATCACACAAAAAGTTGTTCCGTGCGGGAATCGGACCCACGACACGTTGCACGGCAGCCAGATGCCCAGCCACCGCACCAACCGTACGGTCTAAAATTAGTTTACCCCAATCTCTATACCCCTTATCCCCAAATGCCGGGCAAAGCACTTGTAACCAAAATAAGAAAGACTTACTTCTTTTCTGTCCTTGACTTCTTTGTATCAGAGCACACGTGACTAGATACAGGTGGAGATGCCCTGACTCCTCGCTCGCCCATATGAAGTTCAGCTCAGCACCGCTAGATGGCAGGAAATACAAAATATCGTGGACGTTGATCCAGGCGTCTGGGGCCGTTTCTGAGACCAGGATCTGTATGTCTTGTATCGGCTGGAACAAGGGTACAAATGTATATTACAACCTGATGGTCAAGAAATTATCCCCGGACACCGTAAGTACGGGTCTGCGGACGGCGAGTGCGGGTAGCTCGCCGCCCGACCAGAACCAGGCCCGAGCGTACGGCGCGTAGCGTTCCGCGCGCGACGCAAAGACCCAATAGACCACCACAGACGGGGCCCTATAGGGCTCATGTTCAGCCGGGGTTGCGGGGTAAGCGCAATTTGTCACCGCGGCCTCGGCCCAAAACAGGAACGGGGGGTTTTTAGTCAGTAAGAGTCTGACAATCTCTCCGGACGGAAGGAGTCATTTGATGATTTTCCTATCACAAAAAAATGAGTCAAGTGGTTTCTCGTAAGCTGCTGCTGCTGATGATGATGATGATGAAGATGGTGATGATGATATAACTGACCTGTTCGTAGCTTGGTGAAGGGTCATGGCGAGCGCTGACGGCGCCGGCCATGTCGTAATGAGCCGGGGTACAGAACTGCGTCAATGGGATGAGGACCAGCTCCAAACGCTGCTGCTTACGATCCAGGAGTTGGGCCCATACGCTATAAGGGAAAAAAAGATTTTTTTTATATCATAGGACGGCAAACCAGCTTCGAAGACCCAATAGACCACCACAGACGGGGCCCTATAGGGCTGATGTTCAGCCGGGGTGGAGGGGTAAGCGCAATAGGCACCGCGGCCTCGGCCTAGAGCAGGAGAGGGAAGAGGGGAGAGGGGGTTAGTCAATAAAAGTCTGGCACTCCCTCCCGCTCCACTCTGGACGGGAGAAGCAAATTGAAGGATTTCCGCTCACATAAAAAAGGGACAGCAAACGAGCAGGCAGATTAACTGATGGTAAGTAATCAGCGAGAAACATGGATACACGCAACAACGGAGAAGTTACGAATGCTTTGGCGACATTTTAGGGATTTGGGCTTTGGAGATTTAGAGATGGCGGAGATTGGGGGAAAGAGGAAGGGAAGGATTGGTTGAGCCGGTTTATTCATGCAAAATCAAAAGGCAACAAGCGTGTTACCGGATTTTGGTGATAGGGATTTGAGGATTTGGAGATTGGGGCGGGAGGGGGGGGGGGGATTTCTCGAAGAGTAACCTCATGCAAACGTCAACTTTTTCACGACGTTGTACTCTGAGGCCGTGGTATCACTCCAGTCGAGCCACCGAAGCTTGGCTTTCCGACAATTGATTTAAAAATTACTCACTATTGTCCATCCGGAGTCCAGCCAACCCTGGCCAGGTATTCGAACCAGGGGAAACACTCCTTGAGGGGCTGCTTCAGCTCGTACCATCGTAGATCCACAACTTCCATACAACCATTGCTTGTGTCGCCTACTGAAAATCAATTAATAAAAATAATAGTCCAAACTAATATTATAAATGCGAAAGTAACTCTGTCTGTCTGTCTATCTTTTCTTCACGCCTGAACTACTGAACCGATTTCTGTGAAATTTAGTACAGACATAGTTTGGAACTCGAGAAAGGACATAGGATAGTTTTTATACCAAATAATTGTAAATTTAAAAAACCCCCGACCAAAATCTAATGATCCTATAATTTTATTTATTTTACTTTTTATAGGTATTTTATATCATTTTCTCTCGATTAAATCATCAACATTCCCTTTCAGTGCGCTTTCATTTGAGACCCCACTCGAGTATATTTGCAGACCTTCGGTTACCCTTCCCCACTTACCCCCCCCCCCCCCCCCATAACTTCTAAACGGCTCAACCGATTTTCGTCAAACATGTCTAAGAACACTCGCACGTATGTCACCTTTAAAACAAAAAAAAAACTAAATTGAATTCGCTTCACCCGTTCAAGCTCCAGGATGCCACAGACAGACAGACAGACAGACACGTCAAACTTATAACACCCCTCGTTTTGCGTCGGAGGTTAAAAATTGCAGAAAGTCACTATTCTAGGCGTACGGAGTTGCGGGCACAAGCTAGTAAAAAATATATATGTTTTTGTCATCTCTCGAATTAATTAAATAAGGTGACATTTTGTAATTTGTAGAAGATCTGGACTCCGAACTAAGCCTAGGCCCGTTGTTACATCATAAAAGATTAACAGCCGGTTTCCGAAAGGCCGATCAATGTTAAAATCAATTTAATCTCTTTACAAATCATCTGATTGGTTGACTGAATTATCAACAACCAATCAGATGACTTGACAAGAGATTCAACAGGAGATTAGTTAATTTTAGCGTCGACAAGCCTTTCAAAAACCGGGTGTGAATTAACAACAACCAATCAGATGACTTGACAAGAGATTTGACAGGAGATTAGTTAATTTTAGCGTTGACAAGCCTATTAGAAACCGGGTGTGAATTAACAACAACCAATCAGATGACTTGACAAGAGATTTGACAGGAGATTAGTTGATTTTAGCGTCGACAAGCCTATCAGAAACCGGGTGTGTATTATCAATAACCAATCAGATGACTTGACAAGAGATTTAACAGGAGATTAGTTAATTTTAGCGTTGACAAGCCTATCAGAAACCGGGTGTAATTGTCAACGTGTTCTCTGATTGTGGGTGTCTTTATTCAGCCAACCTAGTTATCAGAAATTTGGATATTATTCCATTATACAATATCAGCTCCCAACTTACACTATTTATACTTACAGTGTTCAGAAGCGCCTTCGTGGTAGTAGTCAAGGACGGTGGACGATGTAGCCTTTTGGAGCCGGAAGGTCAACATCTTCAGTGACGACTTGGCGTTCGGAGTACCAGCTCGAGGGAACCTGGTCAACCAAGATTACAGATTACAGATTACAGAAGATTAGAATATAGAGTATGTATTGAGTATTTATTTTATAAACCATACCACCATATACCAGTATAATTATATTATTCTGTATATATATATATTTATATATAAATATTTATTTATTTTAGTGTTTTTGTTGTATTTTAAATCTTAATTTCTCTTCTTCAAATCAAAGTTTTCTTCTTGTTGCACCTACCATACTCTCTCTGCATCACCCTAAGGTTGACTGGTGAGAATGCCTACGGCATTAAGTCCGCCTATGTAATGTTTTGTTGCATAAAGTTTAAATAAATAAATAAATAAATTACAGGGTTTATAAAAAAAAATGTAGGTAGTATGATTTAGGCGATTAACTAAAGGTAAACAATGTTGGTATGTCTTTTTATATTAAAGAGCTCGTATAAAGTACATACAAAGATTATTTAAATTCAGTTTATTAGCTAACATCGATTTATGTAAATAGCTGATTGTCAAAATTTTTACATACAATTTTTAGACAATTTTTAATATGTTTACATTTAGATAATTGGGTAGTTTCCAAGGTCAAAAATAAATTAATCCGACGTTTCAATACAATAAAATATTGAAAAATAACTATACTTTTATTCATCGATCGATCGATACACTAAGTTTTAGATATTTTGTAGCTAATTATTAGGAAATAAGTAAGCTATTTGGCGCCAAAATACTACGACGTCATAACTCAGGGTTTCATACAAGTTTCATAGAAAAGTATCGTTTTTGACATTTGGATAAAAGTATTGAATTTGACTAGTTGGAAACTACCGTATTACCTAAACCGAAAGACAATATATTTTTTTTTTTATCAGGGGAACATCATCAAATGACTTCTCCCGCCCAGGGCGAGGCGAGAGAGAGTGTCAGACTTTTACTGACTAAAAACCCCCCTGTTCCTTCTCCTGCTCTAGGCCGAGGGCGCGGTGCCTCATCGCGCTTACCCCTCCACCCCGGCTGAACATCAGCCCTATAGGGGGCCGTCTGTGGTGGTCTATTGGGTCTTTGAGGCGCGATTGGAAGGCTACACGCCGTACGCTCGGGATAGCCAATAGGCATAGGTTGTCTATCAGGGTAACACTGTGGTCTACGCTTACCTGAACTCCTCGACCTCTCCACTGGTGGACTGTGAGGATGGGAAGCAGTAGATCTTCACCTCGCTCTCGTCCACCTCCTCGTAAACTATCCTGTATACATCATCTGAAATGATAATTTATATATTTGATATTCGTATTTTTACCCGACTACAGCAAAGCAAAAGAAGGGTTATGATTTTGACAGTATGTTCATCTGTTCCCTCGTAACTACTAAACTACTTATCAGAATTCGACAAATTACATATCATTAGAAACGTCTTAATTGTCTGCTGGTTATAGGCTATATGGGGTATCACAAAACCTAATGTGGCGTCCTCTAGCGGATAAAACAACCACAGTAAAAAAGTAAAGTTAAGATAATTATACCGTGTTTGGTATCATTTTAAAGGGCTTTACTTGTACATTTTGAATATATATTACTAGCATTTGCTTGTGACTTTGCTTGTATTCATGTGCTGATTGCATATAATTCACATCTTTTCGTTCATAGCTTTTACTACTGAATATTAGTTCATCAATTTAACTTTTGTTGATATTTTGCACCACAAATACACTTTAAAGCCAAAATACCTAGTACAAAAAAAATGCGTCGGTCGTTTTCAGCGTCTGTTTTTGTCGTAGTTGGGTTTTAGTTTTTATACTTTTTACTATAGTCGTCCTATCGCTTTAAAGGCTGCTGTTTTTAAAATCCCCGGAACGTTACTTTAATACGCTTGCAATTCCGCTGGCGGAAGCTAGTCTATACTAATATTATAAAGAGGTAAAATTTGTAAGTTTGTATGTAGGGGGTAATCTTTTGAACCGCTGGTCGGATTGCCAAAATTCTTTCACTGATAGGTAGCTACAATGTTCCTGAGTGCTATAGGCTATAAAACATCAGCAGCGGGTGAAACCGGGCGAGAGTAGTTAGTTTGAAATTAATGATTTGACTTTTTGACTGCTTTTTATCAACATACCACGCGAGCAAAGCCGCGGGCGGAAGCTAGTATTAAATAGTTCAAATTTAACAAAAAGTGGTACATTAATATACAGGGTGTGACAGAAACACTATGGTTATTTTTCTGCTTACCTTCAGCCTGTGGTTGCCACCAGAAGCCGGTATACCGGGAGAACTCCTCTTGGGTCACGTAGCACGGGACGCCCGCCTGCCGAGGGTCATCAGCTAACCTGGAAGGAGACCTAACGATCAAGATTGAGATGGTCATCATCATCAGCCGATAAGTGCCCACTTCTGAGCAAAAGCCTCTTCTCACACGGGGAAGGTTTGAGCATTAACCAATGCTTGCTCAATGCGGGTTGGCGATTTCAAACTTATAATTAGAAATTATAAGTCCAGGTTTTCTCACGATGTTTACCTTCACCGTATGTCAGTGGTGTCTAAATAATCAGATAGAAAGTAAGTACATATAACTCGGGATAAGTCGCATTGCTACTTGCCGAATTTCAATCCCCAATCCCAAAATCTCCAAAAACCCTTATCTCAAAAACACCGGGAAAACTCTAACTCCTCGAGTGTTACAGGTGTCCATGGACGTCACCGATTGCTTCATCATCATCAGCCTGTTGTCGTCCACTGCTGGACATAGGCCTCCCCAATAGCACGGCACTGAGCTCGATGTTCAGCTCTTCTCATCCAACCACTGCCAGCCACCCTGCGGATGTCGTCAGTCCACCTAGGTGGAGGGCGCCCTACACTACGTTTGCCTAGACGTGGTCTCCACTCTAGACATCGATTGCTTACCATCAGGTAAATCATATGTCATAAAAAGAAAAAACTCACCGATCCGGTTCATGTCCTTTACAAGCATACGTCAATCGTGTAGGCCGTCTTAGTTGCCCGCCCGCCAGCCAGATGTCGCCTCTAGCGGCGTGAGCCACCAACTCTGGGGTGCGGGGACACATTGCCGGGGTTAGGGGCGCCCCTCCACCAGTATTCAGACAACGAGGAACTAGAGGGGGCGCCTGGAAAGGAACAAATATAATTATTAGATTATTTAAGTGTGGGAGAGCCGTGCTTCCGCACAAACGGGTCGGCTCGACCGGAGTGACACCACGGCCTCATAGAAAATCGGCGTGAAACAACCACATCATTGTGTTTCGTCGTGTCGTGTGAGTTAGGTTCCGGAGAATTATCCTTAATCTCCAAATCTCTAATCCCCAAAAGGTCGGCAGACGCACTTGTAACTCCTCTGTTGTTGTGTCCATGAGCGGCGTTGATTGCTTACCATCAGGTAATCCGTAGTCTCATTTACCGACCTATCACATAATTTGTGGATCACACAAAGTGTTGTCCCGTGCGGGAATCGAACACACGACAAGTTACATTTCAACCGCACGATACAGTCACAAATCCAGACAGAAACAATTTTACCACCTTCACTCTTCGGGCGGGTATCACAAACCCGACTGCAAAAGACGTTGTGCACGAGACGGTACACTTTGTTAATGATGACTTACCTGTGTGGACCCCTCATCGGCTACAAACAGCGAGGAGGCGCATGGAAACATGATCTTCCCGGAGCTCTGATGCAGTTCATACGAGGCTATGCCCCAAGCGGCTACCCTCTGCCGTTCCCATAGCAACTGTTCCTCTCTCGACCATTTCCCTGATGATACGCCGAGAGCTACATTCGATTCGATCAGCGGCTTCCAGTCGAGTCTGGAACGAAAAGTATTTTATTAACCGACTTCCAAAAAGGAGGATGGTTCTCAATTCGACCGTATACATATAGGTATATGCTTTTTTTATGTTTTTTCGCCGATATCTCCGTTATTTATGAACCGATTTTGATAATTCTTTTTTTGTTGGAAAGGAGATAGTCTCAGAATGAAATCTGATGATGGAAGACCAGAGACATCGAGGGGAACTTTCAAAAATTGTAGGGGCGAGTGGTGCTTTTGCATGTGGTTTTAGTAGGCTTTTGACAACGCTACAACTTGCCGATGTTCGAACTCAACCTGATGATGGAGCCGGAACACCGTATTGGGATCTCCTTAACTATTTGGAGTAGTCTGCCTTGTGTTTGGGCTTGAATGATTCGTATTGGTGAGCACTTTGCACCAAGATTGGTCTTGACTGTCATTAAGGGTCTGATGATGAGAACAATGGACAGCTCAGGGAACTCCTGAACGGTTTACAGTAACTACCTCGTGTTTGGACTTAATTCATTTATATTGATGAGAAGTTTGCACCTATATGGATTACTTATGTAAAATGAAGATCTGCAGTATACCTGATGATGGAGGTCATTGACATTCGAGGGAATTCCTCAACAATTTACGGCACTGAAAGCTAACTCAGGAATGCCATTACCGTGATTTTGGGTCTAAAGTAGCCGTCGTCTTCTCTTTTGAGAAGCATCCTAGCTTTCTCTGCCTATCATTTAAAATGGTGAAATAAAATATTTTTTGATAAAATAAAACCGACTTCAAAAAGTAAACTAACACCAGGTTTTCGAAAGGCCGATCAATGTTAAAATCAATTTAATCTCTTGTCAAGTCATCTGATTGGTTGACTGAATTATCAACAACTAATCAGATGACATGACAAGATATTTAACAGGAGATTAGTTAATTTTAGCGTTGACAAGCCTTTCAGAAACCGGGCGTAAAAAGCAAAAAATAAATTTACTTTAATACATATTTTCATTTAATTAAGTAGAAAATAATATTTAAAAACTATTTTATAATTTTGAAGTCGGTGCCAAGTAAACGCTACATGCCAAACAACAACACTATTAAAAAAATACCTACTAATCATCAAACTATCTTCTTCTGTATTTTGTAAGACTGATGGCTACACTATCGAAATGGATTAAATCTGTTATGTATGATAGTTGTTAGTGATGTATCAAAATAAATAGTTATATAGCGCCATCTACCGGATAACACGCAACATCAGATTCAAGTTTCTACTATACGGGCCGACGTATCTTGGCGAGTCTGAAGTTAGCCGTTTGTCTGCGCAATGGATCTTTTAGGAACAAAATTGTTTACTGCGCAGCTAATCGGCTAACTTCGTATTGTACATCGCGGTATAACAGTTCTCGACGCACTTAGTACAGGTACAAGATCCCGATAACAACCGTCGGGCAGTAGACCACGTGACACAACACTCGTCTGGTCGGAGGAACCTCCCTATTCAATGGAGGATGAGGAATGTTACACCCTGTTCTCGCATCCCTCCAAAGTTTTACTGTCGTCAAATGAGCAGACGGATCACGCCTTTTTTTTTACTGCTATAAACTAGTGCTTGACTGCGATCCCACCTGGTGATAAGCAGTGATGCAATCGTTGATGGTAAGGCGCACTAGTTTATTAAGAGCCTATTCACTCTAGCCTTGAAGAAACCGCGTCTTTGCGGTTGCCTATAATCTCATTACCAGAATCAGATTTTTAGGGGGAAATTCATCTAATGGTGTGGTGGGGCGAGACGGAATGTCAGACTCTTACTGACTAAAAACTTGTAACATCACTCATAAGTACACCATTAGAACCTTCGTCATTGTCTATTACATGATGGTCGACATACTGTGGACCATTGACAATGTAACTCTGGTGCAGTGAGCTGCCCAACTGTGTACGACTAACTACCCGGCCCGGCTTCGCATGTGTGTAATTTTGCTAATTTTCTCCACTATTTAATGACCTACCGTATCTAAGTGTGTCTATTCTATTAAGTCTATTTAAGTGTGGGAGAGCCATGCTTCGGCACTAATGGGTCGGCTCGACCGGAGTGATACCACGGCCTCACAGAAAACCGGCGTGAAATAACCACTGCGTTGTGTTTCGCCGTGTGAGTGAGGTTACCGGAGGCCCAATCCTTCTCCATACCCAATCCCTCTTCAATCCCTAAATCTCCAAATCCCTAATCCCTAAAAGGTCGGCAACGCACTCGTAACTCCTCCGTTGCGAGTGTCCATGAGCGGCGCTGATTGCTTACCATCAGGTAATCCGTCTGCTCGTTTGCCGACCTATTACATAAAAAAAAAATCTTTATATTATGTTCTTTTTCTAGTTCTGAACTACATCCCCACCAATTAATTGCAAAAGGAATCTGTATGCGAAACTGATTTAAAAAGAGTAACCATGGAGTTTCTTGCTCGTTCTTCTCCAACGGAATCTACACTTTGGAACGAGCAAATAGCTTCACTAAGAGGACTGACCAACAGACTGACACTATATCTTGAAAATTTTGTTTAACATTCAAAAGTGCCTGTAATTGTGTAATTGGAATAAATGATTTTTGACTTTTAAATTAAAAGTTTCAATAAAATCGATTCAGCCATTCTTGAGTTACAGATAGTGTAGCTAACACGACTTTCTTTTATATGCAGTTACATGTCCAAAGTTTATATGTAATAAAACTCTGATAATGACATTATACCTAATTATTTAAACAGTTTAATTTTACAGTTATCTGTGTCAATAACAAGGACAAAAATTGCATAGTGTCAATGAATTATTAATTACAATTACGATTGATTACAATTTTTTTAATATCCGTCTCGTCGTTTTATTATAAACTAGCTACTCTTCGCGTTTCAGCTGCTGCTTGGCTCCATTTGATTGTAGCGTGATGTTTTATAGCCTATAGCACTCGGGAACATTGTAGCTATCTATCAGTGAAAGAATTTTGGCAATCTAAATAGTGGTTCCAAAGATTGCCCCCTACATACAAACTTACAAATTTTACCTATTTATAGTATTAGTATAGAAGTATAGATCCTAATGGCCCGTCTCTGCTATGCACAGTAATGGCCGGCAAATACATGGCAGAACATTGGACAGATATTTATGTAATTTATAAACTAGAAATATTGCATGACATCACAATTTGATGCTGAGCAGTGAAGTAGTAAAGACCTCCTACTCTTAGGAGTACACTTAAATGAAGCTTAAATTCATTTTATTTAAGTAATACCTTTTTGACAAAACAAAAAAAAAAAACATATTTTTATTATTTCTTCATCATAATATAGCTAATGGACTGTATTGATTTTTAATATTCATACCCTGTCATCACCTTTTTACTTACATAAGTATTGGATACAGTAACACAATAAGTTTTTTTTTAATGTAAAAGATTTAATTGCCAATTGGAATTTAAGAGATGGAAGTCAAAGACAAAGTCAAAATCATTTATTCCAACTAAACCATAAATAGGTTCTTTTGAAACGTCAAAATAGGATAGAAGTCTGTCAGTCTGTTCGTCAGTGAAGCTAGGTAAATGCAACTATATAAGAAAGATAGCCAAAATAATTTTGTGGTTATTTTCAACATTATTGTAGTCTATAAATATGCTATTTATTTCTTACAAGCTATCGGATGACACATCCAAAACACTTATAAGATTTCCAATTCAATGAAGATTGGGACAGTGGCAGAGAACCCGTGGAGTAAACTTGTGTGTGAATCTACATCTTGTATTAATGGATGCAGATAACAACATAACTTTCAACCAGGTAAGGTACAGTCCAGGTAATAAACAAAAAACCTATTGAAATAAGTACTACAGAGGCTAAATAGAGATTGCAGTGTCAACAAAAATTCAACAAAATCACCTACCATATTTAGTTTTGTTACCTATGAAGCACATCTAAATATTATAAACCTAATAGGCATAAGGAAACAAGGTTCAAAAAACTACAACAGAATTTTAATTAGAATACAAATTACCTAATTAAGTTTTTTAAGGAAATATTTGTATGATCATAAACTCATGTGCAAAGATAAAATAACTACTATGTTAAGTGATTTAAAATATACATTTTATAATGTAAAGTAGAAGTGCCTACATTAATTTTTAATTACAAACAAAAAAGAAACCAATTAATTTAAAATTTCTAAGCAAAATACTAAACAAAGGACAGTTAACTTTTTTTACAAGAAATCATCCATACAGCCTTTTTGTTTTTATACCAAGGAAATCTCATAAACAGCCTTGTCAATATGTGGCAAAAATAAAATACGATTTACCTGCTGTTGTTTGCTTGTTGTGTTGGTGATACATCAGTGTAAAGCAGTGTTATCTCCCATCCATTCTGAGGAGTCCTTAGAAAATATATCCTTATCTTTCCATTGGCCAGCTTACGAAAACTTATTGCAATCGGAACCATGGTTGATAGACATGATAATTCCTTCCGTAAATCGTGTACGGCCTGCCGTACTTCGGCCCAGGTATAACGTTTCGAAGGTGGACGAACATAATCCACGGCAGCAGCCCCATCTCCAGCCCCTCTCACCTCCATAATATTAATTTCCATTAATTTTTACACTACCGAAAATCAATTGTCTTCCCTCGGTAAATTTTTATTCATGATGTAACAAAGAACAATAGATATGTCTCCACAGTCACCTAATTCGACTAGTTAAATGAATATTCAAATTGAGATCTCATTATAATATTGAAATTACGCTGATTTGATTTTTGTTTCACTAAAAATAGGGCCAACACACTCGTTTTTGACTTTTAGTTGTCTTGCCAAATGGTCGCTGTCGCTGACCGATCGCACTTCTATCACCGGTTGTAATCTTCACAACTCACTCACTTGTCACTCTCAGCTGTCAAGTCGTATAAGAAATTGAAAATAATCACAAAATCTTCCCAAAATAATAAATAAATATATGCAATCCAGTAAATCCCTATTATTATGTTTTAGAGACAATGAGTGGTGAAAATTGTAAAGATTTCATAAATAAACACGAATAAATAACCACTTTTGCGAGATTTGAATGAGTTGTATTCGAGTTTCAATCAGTCAAAAAAGTTGATTCTCGTTTTCCAATAAATTAAAGTAGACCAGATTTTTAACTTGTCCAACAGTAACAAGTATTTTTTATAAATATTACAAAATGTAGAATGTCAAATAAAATATTTATATCCAGAGGTGTATCCAAACATTAATGTTTGCCAACATCACAAAAATTTGACAGCTACGTTCAGAAACTGCAACATTCACGAAACTATAAACAGTGGGCTCTTTCATAATAGAATATCCATATAAAATAATATTTTCTTAAACAATGTCAACAGTTTATTAGTAGTCTCATAGCATCAATAAAATAATTATTGAAAAATTATAGAATCAATGAATGAAAATACACAGGATATGACAACATTTTACATGTTACTGCAGTTCCGGCAACAATAACCCGCCGAACTGTCAAATAGGAAACATGTCGCATAGCTAACGGGTCGACGCGGTCGCTTGTTTTCTTTGCAATTTTGCGCGTCGCGAACATGGCACGAGTGTTAAATATAGTGCGGACTTGTGGTTTACTAACGTATTTATTTTTCTATGTGCACGCAGTTGACAATAATGTCTCGGAACCACGGATAATATCGTTAAAACTGGAGAGTAAAAAATGTGACAATGTAAATTGTAAATATTTACTTAATATTAAGGGTGGCGAGTTTTTGGGGCATTATTCGTGGCGTTTGACCCCAGTGGAAGGTTCAGGGGGTGGTGAATGTGACGTCATATTTCCTGATTATGAGTTAAAAGAGGTTTTAACGACGGAGTGGACGACGAAACTTGAGATTGTGTTACCTATGGTTGTAGATCAAAAAGCATATTTTTGTGTTTACAAAAATAATGTGAAGAACAGCCCGTTTGGTGGGCGGTGGGTGCACCAGGGAGCGGAGCACTATTTGGACGTTAGAGAGAATTTGTGAGTATTACTTTATTTATTTATTATTTTTACGCATCGATTTTTTCGCACACTTTTTCTAATTTAACTACCTTCATTCCTTTTGTTTATTTTTTACGAGTAGTACAAATAATTTGCTTACTCTGTCTCACCTGAGCTCCAGGAAATTTCTGTGTTACCCTAGGTCATGGATCAGATTTTTAATTTACTTATTGGATTTTGAAAAAGCGTTTGAAGAATTTCCATTAAGTAAACTCCTACTGAAACTTAAGTTTTTTAGGTATACATGGCAAATTCTTACTGGTTTCTTTTAGTTCTAAAAAACATAAATCTATGTAATTAACAGTAAGAGCTTCAAGGTCTGACTACTTGGAGATTCCTAGTGGAGTGCCGCTAGGCTCAGTATTAGGGCCTGTATTTTTACTAAAACTTTAAATAATAATTACTTTATTTGTGCCTTAATTAGACACTCATTTAATAATCAATGAGTGGTACTAGGATATATACACATGATATATACAATCTAGATAGTTTTGAGCCTTATCACTCTGGTTTTATAATAAACAATAGTTAATTCTTCCCGCTGCTTCAGACTTGTTCTTAGGATAGTAGCCTATTCCACACTATGTAATATCTCTGTACCGTATTATCCAGATCTACTCAGTGATGATATTGTGACTGAGTAACAAAAATTCAAAGTAATTAACAAATTTTTCCAGTAAAAACTAGTCTTGCTTTCAAGTTACCGGGTAAGTTCAGGTTACTTTGACCCTGCGGGGTAACCTTCATATCACATCTGACAATCTCCCTCACATTACTCGGGGCGAAAGGTGTTAATCACTGGTCCTCCACCTCGCCAAAAAAAGTCCATTTGCGGATTTATATATTTACACTAGCTTCTGTCGCGCGATTTCACTGGGTGCTCGATACCTACAAATCGTAGGGTGATGTTTCATAGCCTAAAGCCTTCCTCGGTAAATGTACAGACAAACACAAAAAATAATTATTCAATTCTAACCAGTAGTTTTGGAGATTAGCGCGCTTAAAACTCTCCAGCTTTATTATATTAAGTAGTATAGATTAGGTATATTTTCCCTTTGGCTAGGGAACCATAAAACGGTTAAGAAAGAGAAGAATAACGGTCCTGTAGTAAAAAAAATAATTATAGTCCGGTCCATTGGCATTTACTACATCACTACATACATAGTATAAAACAAAGTCGCTTTCTCTGTCCCTATATCCCTATGTATGCTTAAATCTTTAAAATAACGTAACGGATTTCGATGCGGTTTTTTAATAGATAGAGTGATTGAAGAGGAATGTTTATAATATGTATAATAACATCCATTAAATAGTGGAGAAATTAAGTATCAGTGTTGCATTCGTGCGAAGCTGTTGCGGGTAGCAAGCACCTTTTTAGTTATAACTAGCTATTCTCGCGCGGTTTCACTCGCTGCTCGACTCTATTCGAGCTTAGCGTGATGTTTTATAGCCTATAGCACTCAGGAACATTGTAGCTACCTATCAGTAAAATAATTTTGGCAATCCGACCAGCGGTTCCAAAGATTACCCCCTACATACAAACTTACAAATTTTACCTCTTTATAATAAAGTATAGATATCATTGGTATTGGTCGCTAGTTGATAATACCTATAGTGTACCTTTGACTACGCAACAATAAAAAGGTTAAAGGCCTTGAAATTAAAAAGAAACATCTATCCATTCCATTAGCAGTTACATACCTACGTAATAAAATAAGTTTATTACTACTAGAACATTACCCAGCAAGAACGTTAAAACGTTGAAATAAAAATAAACATTGCTTGTTTATATGAACGAACTAGGTAATTGTAAAAACTCGATTAACGCGAGTCGAAATCGTGTACGACAAGTTATTTTTTAACCCCCGACGCAAACAGAGGAGTTTTATAAGTTTGACGTGTCTGCCTGTGGCATCATAGCTCCTGAACGGATGAACCGATTTCAATTTAGTTTTTTTTTTGTATTACAGGTGTTTTACGGGCGAGTGTTCTTAGACATGTTTGATGAAAATCGGTTGAGCCTTTTAAAAGTTAGGGGGGTTTAAAGTGGGTAAGAAAAACCGAATGTCCGCAAATATGCTCAAGTGGGGTATTAAATGAAAGGTTATGACTTGTACGTCACAAAAAACTAAAATTTTAATAAATTTGACGTGTCTGACTGTGTGTCTGTGGCATCATAGCTCCTGAACGGATGAAACCATTTCAATAAGTTTTTTTGTATTATATTCTTTTTAAAGGTAGCTTATGTTTTTTGTGTGGGTTTTTTTACAACGAGCTCTTCCGCTCCGAGTGGAGAGGATGGGGAGTGTCAGACTTTTACTGACTAAACACCACCCGTACCTTGTTCTGCTCCAGGCTGGGGCCGTGGTACCGACATTTTTGCGCTTGACCCATACATAGCCCAGGCTGAACATCGGCCCTGTTGAGCCTATACGTTTCAGTCTGGTTTTGGCCCGGCGGCGAGCTACCCTTGCTCCCCGTCCCTCGCTTACGGTTGACACTGTGTTGCTCAGCCCAATCATGGCATACCGCCACCGTATGTTCCACCATGTCCTCTGGGTGATCCTCAATAGTGACCACACCCGGGCGTTTTCTACTGAATCCGAAACTTCCGTGTCCAGAAACACCTGCGTCAGTCAGAAAATGAGAAGACCGTGGCGTCTTTCTAACCACTTCTTAAGCCTTTGACTGCCGACAGAAAACTGATGAAGGCAAATCGGAGGTCACCGGTGACCCCCATGGCGTTAGAGTAAAGAGGGGTCTTACCACTGCCATAACAGCGAGTCCGTATGAGGCACTCCTCAAAATATAATTTAAATAACATTACGTAGTTAAAAAGGAGTTTCTAAATGAAAATGAACCCTTAAAACCTTACAAATGTTCCAATAGCAGTCATTGTTTCATTTTTTCGTAGAAGAAAGCCAAAAAAAATGTTGCCCTGTTTCCTGGCGATTTTTATGTAAGTAAGCCATGTCGTTAAGTTAGTTAGGTAGTTATTTTAGTATACCCAACAACGTTTTTTGGTAGCCCAAGATACGCTAATCACTAACAACTAGCTTTAAGCATACGCTTGGCATTTTACGTTTGATGTACATTATCTATACTAATATTATAAAGAGGTAAAATTTGTAAGTTTGTATGTAAGGGGTAATCTTTGGAACCGCTGCGTCGGATTGCCAAAATTCTTCCACTGATAGATAGCTACAATATTCCTGAGTGCTATAGGCTATAAAACATCACGCTACGCTATGATCAAATGGAGCTGAGCCGCGGGTGAAACCGCGCGAGAGTAGCTAGTGCCTTATAAAAGAATTAAAGTTTCACGTTAAAGTTGTAGCCTCTCAGCCATATGGAAAACATTTAATTATTACGCAAAAACAGCCATTTTCCTGACGACGATGGGGTCTTTGTTCGCTATACATATTTCTAGGCCATTACGCATAGTTCAAAGGTCGACAGGGGTTGTGGGGTTGGGTGACTTACCCCCCCTCTCCTACTCTTCGCATGACTAGTATAAAAACTATGTTAATGTACTTACTTTACTATTCCGCTGGCTGCCAAAATTGTGTGAGATTGTCGCCAAGAAAATTTGTCTGGACTTACAATGTTGATCATTTCGTCCGCGTCTTTTCGAATTCCTAAGATGTCGATTGAAGTACATCTCGTTTGTGACTTTCGGCAATTTAGTTAGGTTATAGTATAGACAGTTTGTAAATGCTCATCTGCTAGGTAAACAGCATTACTTGCACGGAGGAGGAATATGCATCAAACACCACCTTTGCTCTAGATGTTCAAGAGAAATGTTGTCACTTTTTTTATGGAATAGGTCGGCAAAACGAGCAGACGGATTACCCGATGGTTAGTAATTCGCGCCTCCCATGGACACCCGCAACGGAGGAGTAACGAGTGCGTTGCCGACCTTTTACGAATTAGGATTTTGGAGATTTAGGGATTGGGGTCGGATCGGGGGAGGGGAAGGATTGGGCCTCCGGTTACCTCATTCACACGGCGAAACACTACGCTGTGGTTGTTTCACGTCGGTATTCTGTGAGGCCGTGGTATCACTCCGGTCGAGCCGACCCATTCGTGCCGAAGCTTGGCTCTCCCACACTTATTACACTTATTTCATTGAGTAGCTAATTATTGTTATAATTTTGCTTAACATGCTGTGTGATTACGATACAATTAGAATTACAATATTTTGCACACACTGCTAGAATAGCAGAGTCTTCATACTGTATAAAACATTGTATTATATCGATATTATTTCCTGTTGTAATTGCCATGCACTTACAATAAAAAAAAAGATGGTTTTAAGTGTGGGAGAGCCATGCTTCGCCACGTATGGGTCGGCTCAACCGTAGTCAACAACGGCCGCCCAGAAAGCCGCAATGAAACAACCACAGCGTTGTGTTTCGCCGTGTGAGTGAGGTTACCAGAGATCCAATCCTTTGCCATCCCTTTCCAATCCTTTAGTTCTCAAAAGTCCTAATCCCTTAGATACCGATAACGCGCTTGCTATACTCCTCGTATGTCGACACCAAGTAATCCGCTTACTCGTTTACCCGTATCACACAAATAAATAGAAGAAAGAAAGAAAGAAAAGACATTTATTCAGCACCAGGCACGATGCAGCATATAAAAAGACAATAAAAGTGTGACAGTAGAAGTAAGCTAAACATGAGTTAAAGATTAAAACAGATGAAACAGAAAATAGACGCTACAACATGCCCATGCTAAATGGGTTACCCACTCAGTGTAAGCTAGGCATACAAGTCGCCCAGCACTGATTTTCAGTGGGCACCCCTGCAGTGACGCACGGATGGTAGAAACGTTTTATGGCTAGACAAAGACAAACAAAAATATATAAGTATATAATATGTATGTATGATAAGTATAAAGATACAAAAATGGAATACATATTAATATAATAAAATGTAAAGAGTAATATAAAATAAAATAATAAGATAAGATAGTTT